ACCGCCAGCGTGCGCCATGTTGGAAGTCCGAGCCGCTGCCTGCCCCGCCCCCGCCTGCTGGGTGGCCGCGCATGCGCTGGCTCCGCCCTGGGGGCGAGGCCTGATGAAGTCAAGAAGGGCGGCTCCTTGAGGACCTCGCCGTGGGCTCTTGCTCCTAAAACTGAAGCACTATTAAGAAACGCCTTGTATGACACGGGTGGGCAAACCAGGCCTGCTGCCTGCTTTTGTCCGGCTTCACGAGCAAGTTAAGAATGGTTTTTATATTTTGTAAAAGTTGGGAAAAATCCCAAAGCGAAGACTTTCGTGACACGTGAAAATTCAGAAATTCGAATTTCAGTGTCTGTAAATAAAGTTTTATTGGAACAAACACATGGACGCCCATTCTTAACCTATCATCTCTGCTTTTGCGCTACAACAGCAGGGGAGTGGATGAGACAGATCCTGAAGTCTGCAGAGCCTGATATATTTATTAAAAAATGTTGGTGGACCCCCGCTTTCTAGGGTTGATGCGATAAAGGAATATGGGCACACAGCAGCCTAAACACAGCCCTATGTGTCCTTTAAAACACACCCGAACTGCCCCTTCCTCTGCCCTCCCACAGTCCCCTGTACATCGTCTTTTTCGTGCTTCGTCTCTAACACAAATTTTGGACACAGCCACACCAGTGAGCATTTATCAAATGAATGAACATTCCATCAATGACCAAATATCATCTCTTTTTATTTGGGAAGAGGTACAGAAAAGCTGAGGACACATTGGCAGTGAGTTTATCATTTACCAGGCACTGTGCTAGGTGTCAGGAATGGAACAGTGAACAAAACTGACAAGGCTTTTGTCCTCCTAGAGCTTTCTAGAAGGATAGGAATCAAATTATCACACAAACCAATGTAAAGTTTCAACTATAACAGTTCAAAGAGAAGGTACAGGTGTTAATAGTTACTATGTTCCAGATATTTTGGCTGTGTAACAACCCAACCCCCACCCCCAAGAGTTAGAGACTTAGAATAACATCAACATTTATTTTGTTCTCCAATCTGCAGTTTGGGCAGGCTTGGCAGAAATAGTTCATATCTGGCCCCGTGGTGTCAGCTGAAAGGCTGGATCCAGATTCCTCTGAAATTTTATTAACCTGTTTGTCACTTGCCGCTGGCTATAGGCTGAGACCCATGCTGGGGCCTCCTAATGCAGCCATAGCTTCCTCACAACAAGACAGCTGGGTTCCAAGCACCATCGTTCTGAGAGGAACACGAGCCAGGTGGAAGCCATATGTCACCGATTCTGATCCAGTCTTGGAAGTCACAGGGAATCATTTCCATTGCAGTCTTTCCATAGTGGCCAGATGAAGTCTTTCCCAATTGAAGAGGAGGGCAAACAGACTCCAGAAGCTGGGGAGTGGCCAGGGTCTGGAATAGCATGGGGGACAAAATTGTGCCATGACCATTATGGGGAAATACACCCTACCACTTCAGGACATAACCCAGTCTAGCAGGGGATGAGGAAGGCTTCCTGGAGGAGGTGGCATTCTAGCTGAGTTCTGAAGGAGGTGTAGACATTCACCATGAAAGTCAGAGAGAACAGCTGTGCAAAGGCCCTGCCATGGGAAGGAATGTAGTACATCTGAACTAAAAAAAAAAAGACCAGTGTTTTCAAACTGCAAGGGAGTGTGGGAGTGGGAAGAGGGTGCAGGATAAGTGTGGAGAGGCCAGCGGGGGCAGTCCACTCATCTTAATGGGATGAGTTAAGAATTTTGGTCTTGGCATTTCACACTCGAGTAGAAATTGTGGATAGGTTTTATGCAAGGAGCTACTTGAGCAGCTTGGAATTGGGAAGCAAATGCTCTGACTGCCCTGCAGGGAAGTGATTGGAGGGAAGCCCGGTAAGGTGCAGGGAGGCTGTTCCATTGTTTAAGCAAAGGATGATGGTAGCTTAGATTAGGGTGGGAGCAATTAAAGTGGAGAGAAAGGGGTGGAAAGTGGTGATATTTAGAAGGTAAAGCAGAAAGTATATGGTGTTGGGTGGATGTGGAGGTGAGAATGAAGGAAGCAATGAGGATTCATGGCTCCCAGCCTAGAAAGGAATTCTGCTTGGTTTGAGCACATTCCTGTAGGAAAAGCAGCTAAGGCAGACTAAGCTCTTTGATGTCTGGACAGTCCTTGTCACACCAATGCCGCCTGGCAACCTATTAGGCACTGTCCTGGAGGACCAACATCTGTAGGCTTCTGACATGCTAACAGGATCATCATACAATACCCCTTGCACCAAAGAAGTGAGATTCTATTCAAATTTTAGGAATCACTTTTGTTTTCCGTTCTTTTCATACATCTCATATGCTCAAAGAAAACCCTCACTCATTTGGAGAATAGGCAACCACAATCCAATTCTCCTGTGTGTATGTGTGTGTGCATGTGTGCATTCTTCAGAACTCAGCTAGAATGGCACCTCCTCCAGAAAGTCTTCCTCATTCCCTGATAGACTGGGTTAAGTGTCCTGGATGGTAGGGTGTATTTTCCCAGAATGGTCATGGCAATTTTTTGTCCCCTATGCTGTCATAGAACCTGTACATGTATTTTCATATGCATGTGTCCACACGTGGACAATAGTACACGTACATCTTTTCATTCTTATTTTTATAAAGCATAAGACATTTCTAAGCTACATTTTTTTCTTTACTGTTTTCATCTACACAGATTAAGTTGAAAACCTTAGAGTTGACAGTTCAGATAGACCAGCTTTGGAACACAAATTTCCTTACCATTTTCAAATTTAACATTAAGGTAAGGTTCTTAGGTAGGTCTTTTGTTGGACAGTGTTTTGGTGAGGTTAAGAAGACAAGATGAAAAGATCTTATTTTGAACTAATCTAAGTTTTCCCAGGTGGCAGATTTTATGACCAAAATCTCTAAAGTTTAGAATCATGTTGTGGCAAAATTCCAACATGGACCCCAGAGATTCTCGCCCCTGGCATGTGTGCCCCATCTAACCCTCCATCTTGGAGTGTGGGTGGGACCTGGGAGTATAATGGATGTCACTCCTGAGACTAGGTGACACCACACGGCAAAGGTAAAGGGATTTTGCAGGTGTATTTAGGGTCCCAAATGAGTCAATGGTGAGTTCATCAAAAGGGAGATTATTCTGGGTGGGCCTGACCTAATCAGGACATCCTTTTAAAGACAGTGTGGAGGTCAAAGCCTCGAAGCATCAGACAGATGCAATCCTTCTGGCCTTGAGGGAGGAACCAGTGCTGTCATGGACAGCCTCTAGGAGCTGAGGTCCTCAATTCCAGAGCTACGAGAGCTTAATTCAGCCAATAACCTGAATGAGCATGGAAGAGGGCCCTGGGCCTCTCAATGAGCTCCCAGCCCAGCTGACACCTTATGAAGCCCTGCACAGAGAACCCAGCCATAGTGCATCTGGATTCTTGACCCACAGAAACTGTGAAATAAAAAATTGGCTATGATTTTTAGCTACAAAGTTTATGGTAATTTGTTATGCAGCAATAGATAATAAATACTCCTATCAAGTAGCCTTGTCAAAAATGTTTACCCTGTGATAGTGATGTGTCCATGTAGGTTCATTAATTGTAACAAATGTACCATTCTGGTGGGGAATGTTGGTAATGGGGGAGGTTATGCATGTATGGGGGCGGAGGGTATATGGGAAGTCTCTGTACCTTCCATTCAGTTTTGTTGTGAACCTAAAACTGCTCTAAAAATTAAAGTCTATTAAAAAAAATGTTTTTAAAAAAATGTTTACACTGAATCTAATCAAGCCTTAATACCAGGGTCGGCACACTTCTTTAAAGGGCCAGATGGCAAATATTTTTGGCACTGGGGCCATAATTCTCTGTCACTGTAGCATGAAAGCAGCTACAGGCAATGTGTAAGCGATGCATGTGTCCATGTCCCAATAAAACTTTCTTTACAGAAACAACCAACAGTCTCACAGGCCATGGTTTACTGAATCCTGCTCTAGAATAAAAGGAACTAAAGAGACAAAACAACTAAATGCAATGCATAAATAAATCTTGATTGGGTCCCAGTTGGAAAGAAATGCTATAAAAGATGTTTTAGGGCTAATTAGGAAAACCAGGGATGCCTTTTAAGATATTAAATAACAATTATTAGTTTTCATAGATGTGTGTGGTTATTAAGGAGAATGACCTTATTCCTAAAAGACTTGTCCTGACGTATTTATAGATAAGGTGTCTTGATATCAACAGCTCTGGAATTAGGGTGAGACGAATGAGGCAGTTTTGTGCAAATGCAGGGGCAGATTCCATTTTTATTTAAAATGTTGATATTTTGTTCGTCATGTACTTTTTATTCATTTTATTTTTAAAAAATATGGTAATAAAATATTATTTATCTTGATTGCTAAGTTTTTTGGTGCCTCCTTAAACTTTGAAATGGTTTTCACAGAAGATGGAAGGTGATAATTGTTGGATCCCAGTGGTAAGTAAATGAATGGTCGTTGTCCTCACAATGCAAGTCTCCTGTAAGTTTGAACATTTTCAAGTTGAAATAAGTAGTCTTTAGACTATTAAAATAAAGTAAATTTTAAAATTAAAAATAAAAACTGAACCCATTCATAGATACAAAGAACAGACTGATGGTTGCCAGAGGAGGGGGTGAGGAGTGGGTTTTAAAATGGGTGAACGTGAGCATAAGCTTCCAATTATAAAATAAGTTAGTTCTGGGGATATAATGTCCAACATGATGGTTGTAGTTAACAAGACTGATTATATGTTTGAAAGCTACTAAGAGAATAGATCTTAAAATTTCTCATCACAAGAAAAAACTTTTTGTAACTTTGAGTGGCAATGGATGCTAACTAGACTCATTGTGGTGATAATTTTGTAATATATACAAATATTAAATTATTATGTTGTATACCTGAAACTAATATAATGTTATAGGTCAATTATACCTTAATAAACAAACAAAAGCAATTAAGACAGAATAGCAACCAAGAAACAGATAAACAAAAAAGTAATTGTAATTATGTGGTGATGCATATTCACTAGACTTATTATGATGATCATTTTGCGATGTGTACATTTATCAAATGATTATGTTGTACACTTGAAACTAATATAATGTTATATGTCATTTATATCTCTATCTTAAAAAGTCTCTACAATATAACATAAATTTATTCCTGCTATAGCTAGAAGGACTATTAATTTCAGTTGTCTTGGGATAGCCCAGTCTATTTCTGTAGTCTGGGAGTAATTGTTAAAAGCATCCCTTTTTATGCTTAAAAAGTGTCCCAGTTTGGATGATTGGCCCTGCTTAGCGTAAGAGAGCAAGGTGGGGATTTTGATAACCACACTCTCATCCGGGCTTCTCCATGGCTGGGAGATCTCAGGTAAGTCATTTCTCCAAACACAGGGCTTATCAAACATTCATAGCAACCAAACTCTTTCTTGAGTGAAAACTCACTGCAAAGTCACCAATATAAGCAATAATTTGGAGTAGCATTTTATTAGTAAAAATTATTTTCATATGTTCAATTTAGTTTTTACGTACAAACCAATTGATTCTCACTAAGGCCATTGAGATGCGCACACGCATTTTACAACCAGAAGTTGTAGCTGAAATCTTACTTTGTCACAACATCCACTTTGTTCCTTGATTCACAGAGAACCGGTGGCAAAGAGTAGCTATGTTTTCAAGGGCTCCCCTCGAAATCTAAGTTAAATGGAGATGGCAGGAGAATCTCAAGTTAATTATCTTCAACACTTTAAAACCTGTTGCCCAATGCACCGGAGCATACAATTTAAAATATTTTTAATGGAATCTGGTGCTAATTTGCAGAACTGCCAAAGCCCTCCTTGGTTCAGGTTGAACCAAGACGGTCAGTAGGGTCATATCCAGCTCAAAAGCTTGTTTCTAAGGTTACTTTTTCTGAAACTCTGAATCCCACAGAAGGGAGAAGGAATAGCACCTGGAAGATCTGGACTCTCCTGTTCTTACAGCAAAAGCCCCAGAAGCAAGTGGGGGCTATTAGAAGGCTATGGGCAAAGAAGAAAGCTCTATTTCAGTGGAATGGAAACACCTGGACTGTTGAACTTGCATAGGGCAGAGATGGTCCAAAAGCACGGCAGGGAGATGTCTGCAGTTCTTTCCACCTGCTTCCAAGAGCCTCCAGTTTTTAAGATAAAAAAACACCTCTATCCTCCAAGTTTAGGAGTAGAGCTGGAAGATTCTAACAGGTTTACTGTTTCAATGCCAGTTTGGGTCATGAAGTCAGCTCACGAACTAGAGCCGCACATGCCAAATGTGCCTAGAGATGTAAATTTGAGCCAATTACCAACTTTTAAAAATGGGTACATTTTGCATTCAAGTCTGGATTTTTCACAAAAGTGGGATGCTTTCCCCATGGAGTTTCTAGTAAAGTCAGGATTTCCATGCCCACCTGAGACAGAGCACGTGCCCTTCACATTCCCACCACCTCCATCAGGCTTGTTTCCTCACCCAGGTGCACGACAATCATCCAGATTTCTCATTGGCCCCTGTGGACATTTGAGTGTGCCACTGATGGAATAGATGGTCGTGCTTGCGAGATTAAATTGGAGTGAGGTGAGCCAAGAATTGGAACAGGACGGCTCCTGGCTCTCGTTTTGCAGAGCTCTTGCATCTAGGGCTATGACCTTGAGCAAATCACAGCTACCTCTGTAAGTCTCAGTTACCTCATCTGTAAAATGGATGCAGAAACTCCTGCCCTGCTAAAGTATGGGTTATGTTAAGAATCAGACCATAACACCTGGTGCTTTATAAATTGAAAAGCTCTATGGTCCACTTCTGTGGTTTGGTCAGTCACATCCACCATCCCCACTTTGCCTGGTACCAGCACTCCAATTTTCCTCCTAGAAATAGCCTCTCTCATTCTCAGTCCACATAGTTAAGTGGTGTTGACTCCAGCCTCAACCCAGGTAGGCATTGGGTCAAGCTGGCCAATCATAGTGCTGCATTCTCCCAGAGACAGAGATTGGTTCCAGGATGGGCATATGAACCAATTGGGACCAATAGAATCAAGGCCAGGACTTTAGTTTGAACTGTTGGAAAAAGGAAAGAGGAATGGAAAAATGGTAAGAAGCAATGTCTGGGTCCACATATACAGCAACACATGCATTCTCTTTGCTTCAGCCAGACTGCATGGAGCTAACTCATGGAGCTCCAGGTCCCTGTGGGTGGCTCTACACTATCAGGCATACTTGTGAGCGTTTGTTTGATTTGCATTCATTTCCCTGGGCACTCCTTGATTCCGCATCCTGCAGTGCCCCTGCAGCAGCAGCCAGTTCTTCTCTCTTCCTTGATTTGATCATCCATACCGCCTTCCTGAAGTTCTTGAGAGGTTCTTGCTGTGAAGCTCTTGACGAGGGACACTGGAATCGTTCGCGGATCAGATAGCCATGTCTGGTGGGGGCAATGAAGCCATTGTCGGTTGGGATGATTCTGTTCACCAGGGCATGGACAAACTGGACAGCCAGCAGGGTACCTGTAGCAGGTAGAGGGCAGGGCCACACAAATGAGAAAACTAGGGCCACAGAGGTCTGATCTCACGCATTCGAGAGTTGGCGGCATGGGGTCAAATCCGTGCAGCTGGCTCAAGTATGATATCTAAACTCTAGGAGTCCCTCTTGCTTCATCTTCATTATGGGAATGATGACTGAACATACGTACCTGCTGAGGGGAATTCTGAAGATTCAAAGATGTCATGCATGTCAGTATCAGTTTTTAGCCCAGAATGAGTCCAGTAAACATTATCATTGAAGGAGGAGTAGGAAGAGAAGTTGTGAACCTGCTTAGGATGGGCTTTTAAGGCCACTATCTACATACCTCTGTTTCTGAGCCAACTGTGACTTTTTGTTAGGCATCGTTGCTGTACTGTATTAAACTACAATATATTCAATTACGATATATTCGATTATGATGTATTCAGCACTACCTGATATTCATTCAGCCTCTTACTTGCTTTGTGATCTTGGGCAAGTCCCTTAACCTCTCTGAACTTCAGCTTCTTCATGTCTTCTACCTTCCTGACAGTGTCATATGGATCCCCTTTTTATAGGAGACAGTGTAGGAAGATGACAAAGGTAATATGGGGACCAGGCATACCAGCTTCAAACAAGTCACCCCATTTCGCAGAGCCTCAGTTTTTGTTCTGTAAAATGGGGGTGGCTGTTGAGAGAATTAAATGGGTTGGTAAGAGTACCCAGCACACCCAGCAAACAAGAAATGTTAACTCTTGTTAGTGTGCCTTTAGTGTAATGCGGAATTGACCAAGAGATGTGGGGTTTTCAAAGTGGTTAGTCTTAAACAAGTCACCCCTGACATTTATGGGACCACGGGCAAGAGAATGAATCAAAGCTCATATGTAAATGTTACAAATCTAGCTAATAAACTACCAAATGAAATACGCTCTACCCTCCTACATTGATAAATGTGCCTTCTAAACCACCTGGAAGGTCAGGTTTGGGTTGAAAATTCTCAGGCTCCTCAGCTCCACATTGGAATGTAGCTGTTTGTGGCTTGGCCCCCTTATTTTCCCATACCCGATTCCACCCTACACCCTTAGGGACTTCACACAAATACACATAAACCCTCCACCAAGCTCATATCTCCAGACTCCATGTACACCACCCCATGGCCACCCTGAGCCTAGGGGTGTGCACTGTAGGGGTGTAGTCTGTCTTCATAAGGATGCACCTGGGGAAGAGGCCTGCACAGGCCCTAAAGAGGGCCCCAGGCCAAGTGGGCAAGGTGTCTTGGAGTTCCAGGTACCTAGAACTTAGGTATAGAGGAGAGCTGTAGCTCCAAGTGGGCCTGTCTCCTTGACCTGCAGAAGACTGGGAGGGAACCAGCTAGAGGAGGTTGGAGAAGGCCCTCTAATGCCCAGGGCAGAGCCTTCTCCAGATCTAAGCTTAGCTCTGCCCTCAAAGCAAAATGACTCACCGTCCAGCACACTTAAGACGATTATGGAGCGATCCTTCAAGCCCGCATATACATACTTGTCATTCTTGGAAAAGCAAGCACATTGGACTCCTCGGCAGAAAGAGTTCTGTTGAAAAAGACAATGTGATCTTGATTTCAGACCGAAAGACACCCAAGAGACCAGCCCCAAAGCATGTGTGTAGGAAGCCAGGCTTGTAAGCACCCTAAGGGGGATGATGGATCCACTGAAAACCTGGAGAGATAGGTGGCATCAATATTCATAGGATCAAAACACACCTTCACTGAAATTGGGTTGAGAGGTTTAGCAATATGTTGCATTGGAAAATAGGAATTATAGGATTTAATTCTTAAATAACCTCGGTTATGCAAGAATTAGACATACTTGTCTTTAATTAAAAGCTCTGTGCTAAATGTAATATGGGATCCTAGATTAGATCCTAGAACAGAAAAAGAGAATCTGTCAAATAACGTACAATCCCAATGAAGTCATTATAGTTTAGTTAATAATATTGTTCCCATATTTTCTTTGTTTTGACAAACACACTCTCATTACATAAGATATTAACATCAGGGGAAGCTGGGTGAGAGGTGGGTGGATGGAACCTTCGTACCATCTGTAAATCTAAAATTATTCCAAAACTGAGTTTATTTAAAAACAAAAACAGAAAGCTAGGTGTATTTAACTGCTGCGGTGACATTTCCCATCTCAACAAGAAAAAAAATCACTTACATCCCAGCCTTATAGTGGCTCCATAAAAATAAATAAATCAGGTGGAACAAAGGCCTTTTAAGATGAAAACACACATACTCTGTTCTCTTAGTTACAAGATCATCTCCTTGTGTTTATTAACAATTTTTATTCCTTGCAACCTAAGGTATGGCCTTGGTTCCCATCTGAAAAACTAGAATAATAACACCAACCTTATGATTGTCGTGAGGATTAAAATATAAAATTATATTTTAACATGTATATTTTATATAATGCATATGTAATATGAATACGTAAATATATAACATAGCTCTTAATAATATTGATACAAAAATTATAATACCTCTCTATGAGATGGGCAGTGCAGACTCTTAATGTATGTAAAGGAGTTATCAGTTTCCCTCCTCAGAGTCTTCGTGGCTGCTGTTCCTTCTGTCTAGAATGCTGTTCCACCAAACTTAAATAGCATCCCTTGCCCCTCTTTACCCCCTTGACCTTGCCCCTTTTTTTCAAAGCCTTTGTTGCTCCCCAACCCATCACATATTTGCTACTTTATTTTTATTTCAAGAGCATTTATTGAATCCTGAGGATATATAGGGAGCTATCCTAAGGATGGGGCGATCTAAGTGAGTAAAACCCAAAAGATCCTGCCCTTCCAGAGCTCACAGTCTCCCCCACTAGAATGTGGCTCCAGGAGGCAAGACTTTCAGTGTCTGCCTTGGTCACAGCTGCTTCCTCACTGCTGGAAAGGGGCCTGGCATAGGTTATGCAGTTAAAACTAGTGGCTGAAAGAATGACATAATTAGGAGTAGGGTGAGGAAAGAGAGGCAGGGCTGTGCCAGTGCAGGGTTTGATCCTGTCTTTATTTAAAATGTTGATAATTTTGTTCTTCGCAGATCTTTTGCATTGGTCGTGATTTTTTGAAACATTGCATCAAAATATTTCTCTTGATTGATTGCCGAGTTTTGGGGCACCCCCTTAAACTCTGCTCCTGAGACTAGTGCCTCACTTACCTTACCATAGTCCTGACCCTGGTTGATGGCACACTGTGTATTCACTTAATAAATGACACCTGTCATCAGTTTTCTAACACATGGACCTAGCATGCATGTGGTGTGGCCGGCCACGCACCATGTAACTTATCTCGAATCTCTCCTTGCATGCCTGTAGGTCCCAGAGACAGAGTAGGGCTTCCTCCGACCCACTGACTGCCAGCTGCTCCTTGTGGCTGACCTCCACACAGGTGACCAGGCTCCTGTGGGCCTCCAGAGGGAACACTTTGGAATTCGCACAGTCATAAAGGAAGAGATCACCGTTGGTCATGCCGTAGATCACACGGTAATCGGCCAGAATGGCCACGCTGGATATGGTCTCTGGCAGCTGGGTATAGAAGGTATAGGTTGGCCCATCGATGACCGGACAGGGGTCCCCGGGGCTGATGTCCAGCACCAGGACGATGCTGTCATAGGCAATGGCCAAGTGCTCCTCGTCCTTACTCAGGGCCATGCAATTGATGGCTTTTCGGGCCTCTGGAGGGGGAATGCACAGGACATCCTGCCTGGAATTCAGGGGGAACACCAGGACGATGCCGGAAATGAGGCCAGTGAAAAGGAGCTTGGCCTGCTCAGCGACCTCCAGACATCTGACCTCATTGGAGGTGTCCAGGGCATCTTGCTCCTCACCTGCCATGACAGGGAGAAGATTGCATCAAGAATGGATCATAGAAATGCTCGTTCCACAGTTTTCCCAATTTTTTCAATACTTTTATTATTCATAATCTTCAACTCGGCTGCTGCAAGTTTCCCTGCTTCCACTCCTGCCCCCCAAACTAGGCAAAGTTTTAAAAATGAAACTCGCATCATCTCACTTTCCTGCCTAACAGCCTCCAGTGACCTTCCACTCCCGTCACATGACCTCTCAGACCTCTTCCCAAACATTTCCTTTATAAATTTCCATAAAGGCCGAAGAGTAAATACTTTTTGCCTTGCAGATTCCATGCTTTCTGTTGCAACCATTGAACCCTTCCTTTGTAGCCCAAAAGCAGCCACAGACAATATATAAACAGATAAGCCTGGCTGGATTTGGCCCGTGAGCCAGAGTTCGCAGACAGCTATCTCATCCCCATACTCCGCTTCTTTGTGTCTGCTTTGCCCCCACCACTAGCAGGTAAGCACCCTGAGAATCTGTCTTGCTCACCCTCCACAGCCTGGCACTAAACAAATGTCTGTCAAATCCACGAATGTATGGACTTGAGAGTGAATTTATTTTCTCTTATTATTTTACCATAAACAAGGAATTTCTATATATCCATTTGCCCAGTGGGGATTGTAGCAGATACTGTTGGTGACATGCCCAGACCCCCTTTACTGGCCAGTTCACCCACCCCAAGGCTGCCCACTGCCCTCGGATGAAGAGAACCCTCCTCTGGAAATGCCCAGGGGCTGTGCCCGGCCCCATCCAAGGATGTCACCAAGCCAATGACTGCCTTGTCTAGAGATGGGACAACACTGAGGTGCAATTTATGGTCTGGAGCTCCCCATGGGATCAGGCCGAGCCCACTTCTTTGCTTGGTCCTTCCCCAGCCCCAGCCTGCTTCCTTGCTCCTTCTCAGGCTCCTCCTGGGAGCTGTCCCTCTATGTACCACCTGTGCAAGTTTCCCCATCACATGCTTCTGGGCAACCTGAACTGAAATAGACTGACAACCAATATTCAATTGCCTTATGCTAGAAATTTATAAAATCAAATCCTGTTTTCTATTAGCCATTTCCAACTTGACTGGAATTATGGGAGTGATATGGACTGAATATTTGTGTCCCCTTCAAATTCATATGTCGAAATCCTAACTCCTAATGTGATGGTATTTGGTGGTGGGGCCACTGGGAGATGATTAGGTCGTGGAGTTGGAGCCCTCAGAATGGGATGAGTGCCCTTGTAAGAGGAGACGTGAGAGCTTGCTCTCTCTCTGCTTTCTGCCATGTGAGGATACAATGAGAAGATAGCTATCTGCAAGCCATGAAGAGAACCCTCACTAGATACCAGATCTGCTGGCATCTTGATCTTGGACTCCCAGCCTCCTATGAGAACTGTGAGAAATAAATTATGTTGTTTAATCCCCCGAAGTGACGCAGCTTGAGTAGACCAAGACAGGGGCTTCAATGCTTGCTCTCCCACACAAACAACCATGCTTATCTCATACAAACCTTCTGCCAAGTCCCAAACAGTGACTTTGTTTTTGTCCCCAATTTTGGGGAAGTAAACGTAGCTTCCGTTGTGTGACACAGCTGTGAGGCCGGTGCGGTCCAGAAATGGGGCAGAGGCCCGTGGCTTCTGAGCATAAGTGAGATCCCAGACTTTAAAAGATGAGGACTGCTGGGAAGCAGATGCTACCAAGGCTCCACCCCGGGCCAGCAGGCTCACGGGGGCCCCAACACCTTCCAGGATGTCCAGCAGGGTCCCTTGCTCGGATAGACTCCATATCTGAGGATAGAGACCAGAGGGACAGAGCTGACTTTTTCCTCACGCTGCCGTTGTTTGGAAATATACTTAAGTCTATCTGTCCATCTAAGGTGAATCCTTAGGCTGAGGTTCAAGGGCCTTCACATCTCTCCACCTTCTCACACTTCCCCACATCTCATCAGACTATGATCATGGGAGTTCTCAAAGTGTGTTCTGGGGAACCCCTGGAGGGAACCCCCATATTTTCTGTAAAAGCAAAACTATTTTCATAATAATTCTAAGATGTTATTTGCCTTTTTCACTCTCTTCCTCTCACAAGCGAACAGTGGAGTTTTTCAGAAGTTATGGGACATGCGAAACTACAACAGATAAGAGAATGCAGAATCACACAGGGGTGTCCAATTAATTGTCTTCAATTAAGCCAGACTTGAAAGAGATTTGCCAAAATGTGAACCAATGATAATCTTCTCATGAGTTTTTTTGGTTTGTTTCAGGAAATAGAGTTATTTTCATAAAAGTATCTTATTATGTTGACATGTCATGTTGATGAATTAATGGATAAGTATTTTTGGATTTCCTCATTTTTAACTTTTAATATGATAATTATCAATAGATACTAAATGCAATGTGGGATCTGGAATGGATCCTAGAATCACAAAGAAGGACATTTGTGGGAAAGCTGGTAAAAATCAGATCAAAATCTACAGATCAGTTAAGAGTATTGTCTCAGTGTTAATTTCTTGGTTTTGACAAAGGGCTCAGGGTAATATGAGATGTGAACATTGGGGACTCTCTTGGCAATTCTGTAAATTCTAAAATTAATCCAAAATAAATCACTCGTTAAAAATTTAAAAATCAAATTGATATAACCCACATAAATGAAAGCGCTCGAGGAGTCTTCAATAATCTTTAAGACCGTAAAGATGTGCTGAGACCAGACCATTGGAGAAACACTACTCAGTCACCTGCCTTTCTCACCAGCCTTGAGAACTTTGAGCTTAATGGGAATTTTTCTCCCTTCTCCTCTGATCTTGCTCCACTCGGAAGGTCAAAATCTGCCTAGTCCATCAAATTCAGTGGGAATGCCATCTCCTTCATCGAATATTTTGATAATTCCCCCCAGGTCTGTCGCTGGATCCCAGAAAACTCCCTCATATGCTCCCAATGACCTGCTGGTTTTGCCTGCACCAGTTTCTGTGTTTTTCTGTATTTCGAAGTCCAAAGATCCCTAAAAAACCATACTTTTGATTCCAGAGGCATAGGCGAGGTGACAGGCCCTGGGTCTCCCCCTCACCTGAATGAGTGTATCTCGGGACCCAGTGACAATCAGATTGTTCTCAGGACCAAAAACAGCCGTCTCCACTATGTCCTCATGTTCAAGATCGGTGGCCATGAAGTGATGAAACCCCTGTGAGTCGGCCAAGAATATCCGCACAGATCTGCCAAAGCCTGAAACAGCAGGGACCTGGGTTACTCCTTTCATTCCTGGAGGACCTTGAGAGTAAATCAGTTCAGCCAACAGAGATTTTTTTTGAGTACCTACTATGTGCTAGTGCAAGAAATAAAGTAGTAAGCAAGACAGACATGGCCCCCCTCTGCACAGAGCCTACAGTTGGGGAGGGGTGATGACAGTGATCAATAATCTCACAGAAGAATAGTAGTGTTATTTATTATCACAAGACTATGAGTTTTCAGAGCACTGGGACTGCAAATTTGGGCTACTCACGGTATCTCAGAACCTAGCGCAGAGCTGGACACAGTAAACACGCTTCGAAGATGGAAGGAAGGAAAGAAAGAGGGAAAAGAGGAAAAGAGGAAGGGAAGACAGGAGAGAAGAAGGAGGAAAGAAACTGGAGGGAGGGAAGGGATGGGGGAGAGAGGAAGGGAGGAAGGAAAATAAAATGGTTATAATTTGTGATAAAGGCAATCAAGTTAGGGGACTGCAGACCGAGAGAAAAAGGCACAGAGACACACATGGCAGGGAAGGCAATGTAAAGATGGAGGCAGAGACTGGAGAGATGTGGCCACAAGTCAAGGAGTCACAAGGCAGAAGCCAAAAGAGGCAAAGAAGGATTCTCCTCTAGAGCCTGTGGAGGGAGCCAGGCCTGCCAACCCTCCGACCTCAGACTCCTGGCCTCTAGAACTGTGAGAGAAGAAATTTCTGTTGCTTTAAACCGCCTCATTTGTGTGGGAGTTTGTTATGGCAGCCCCAGGACATGAGAGCTGACTTTAGAGGGATGAGGAGGTGACAGACACTGGAAGGGTAGGAACCGTATGGGACAACCAGGAGGTGTGTCTGAGGGGCAGCACGCAGGCCAGTGTTGCTGGAGCAGAGTGAAGGAGGGGAACATGAGAGAGAGAAGAGGTTGCCAGATTTAGCAAAATAGCAACAACAACAACAATAACAACAACAACACATCCAGCTAAATTTGAATTTCAGATGAATGATGTAAATTTTTATTAGTATAAGTATAGCCCAAATATTGGGTGGGATATACTTATACTAAAAACTTGACTCGTTTATCTGAAATTTGACCGCCCATTCTGTGTTTTACCTGGCAACCCTATCCAAGGGGACCTGCTCACTTGCGTTCCAAACATGTTCTGGGTGAATGTCATGTTGAGAGGACCCCTAGCAGGAAGGTGGGCAAATAAGGACTGCATCTCCCAAACAACAGGCTGGTTCCCTGCGTTGTGGATTGGGAAACTGTCCAGGCTCCTTCTTCTCATTGGCTGTTGGAAAAGGCCACACCTGAAACCCAACTGTAACAAGTTTCTAGGTCACCGAGATCCTCAATGCCTGGGGCCTTGGTTCTGATTCTATTTTGCATCCCTACCCTTGTTTTTCTTTCTTCTTTTGTACCATTTTCCATGCTATATTTTGCATATACTTAAGCTACCTGAAATTCTTTTGGAAACAGGATAAAGAGTATATATATCAATCCATCATCCATCAGTCAATCTTGGAAGATAAGCATTTATCTACCAGCTCTACATTCTCCAATCAGGTCATCACAAGCCACACGTGGCTATTACTGTGGCTGATCTGAATCAGAATGAGCTATAAATATACAGGACCCACCAGATTTCAAGAACCTCACACAAGAATTTAAAAAATAATGTGAAATATACCACTAATAATTTTTATATTGATTTTATGTTGAAGTTTAGATGTAAGGGGTTAAATAAGATATATTATTAACTTAATGCTACCTGTTTCTTTTTACCTTTTAAAGTCGGGTCATGAGAATATTCACAGTTTTAATGTGGCTCATATTTGTGTTTTGCATTATTGGACAGCACTTGTCTAGAGTGTCTTTGACCCCTGGAAATGGTTTTGCAAACATCAGGCTGATTTTAGGACAGTAAAAATTCTCTGTCTGAGACTGTAATGATGGATACCTGTCATTACACATTTGTCCAAACCCATAGAATATGCAATGCCAAGAGTGAAACCTAATATAAACCGTGGACTTTGGGCGATGATGATGTGTCAAGGAAGGATCATTGATTAGAAATACTTACCAATCTAGTGGGAGATGTTGATAATGGGGGAGGCTATGCATGTGTGGGAGCAGGGGGTGTATGGGAAATCCCTGTACTTTCCACTCAATTTGGCTGTGAACCTAAAACTGATCTGAAAAAAATAGCCCATAAAAAAAAAAATCAGGCTGTGGAGCATCTGTTGGTCACCTTCACTAGGAAGCTTTTCCTGACTGCTTCAGACTAAATAAGAGAACCCTGTCACATGCTCCCATGGCCTCTGATTCTTGTCTTTCTTGTGCCTACCCTACTTTTCCATCTTTCTTGGTAGCCTGGAAGTCCATAAAAGCAGGGATTGTAGGGGCTGGCTTGCCCGTTAGGAACCCCACCCTCTCACCCAGAAGGGACTCATCTTCAGAGACCACCAGGACTCCCCCCCCATCCCTGTGACTATCCAGCGGAGATAATCACTCCCATTTCAAATATAATGAACCAGAAGCCCAGAAAGGTTAGGAGATTTGTCCAGAACAGGGATTGGCAAACCACAGCCTGTGGGCCAAAACTAGCCAGCCACCTATTTTAGTATGGCCCACAAGCTAAGAATAGTTTTTACATTTTTTAATGGTTAGAAAAACTCAAAATAACTATTTCATGACACATGAAAATATGAAATTCAAACTTCAGCATCCATAAAGAAAGTTTTATTAGTACACTGCCACACCCCCTTGAAATACTGTCTGAGTGGCTTTCGTATTATAAGGGCAGAGTTCAATAGTTGTGGCAGAATGTGGCCCTTTGTGGAAAAAGTTTGCTGGATGCTGGTCTAGGACTCCTCCCTTTCCCCAAGCCCCGCTCCACTTCCAAACAAATCCGGAGCTGTCTCCTCAGCACTCCCCAGTGAGTGAAATTAAACGCTACCTGCGGCCAGAAGGGATTCATCTTCAGAGACCACCAAGAACCCCACAGCTTCCGGAAGCTTCTCCAGCAGGCTGTCTCCTTTGGAAGAAACCTGTGCAAAGTCAAAGATGCCCATCGAGCATTTCCACAACAGTAAGGGTTCAGGGTCAAGAGTTTGGATCCGAAGCAGGGCTTTGCCACTCACCAGCGACGTGATCCTAAGCAAATCTCTTTATCCCTGGGTGCCTCGGTTTTCTCATCTGTTAAATGGGTAATGATACCAGGACCGCCTCACAGGACTATCACGGGCTAAAAAGTGTGTTAGAATTATCCCCGCCCCACCACCACCCCCACCAGGCACATAGTCAGCCCTCCCAAAGGGGCAGGTATTATTACTACTGTTGTTGCTGTCACCAACTCAGGGACCCAGAGAACATTCCAGCCCCCAGAAGAGGTCTGGAGATCTCAAATAAGATGAAAACATAGGTTGGAGCCAGAGGAAGGCAGCACCATTCTTCCTATTTCTGAGTTGAAGAAATGAACCAATTTTATCCAAGTCTAAGAGGAAAATTCATTCATTAATCCTGATTCTGAAGCCTCAATCCAGCTAGTGAGTTTTGAGGCCCTGACTGTCACAAGACCGTGTGCCAAAAGCTTTATGTTCATTATTTCAGAGGGCGGGGGGACGTGTGGCAGCCCAGGAAAGTGAGCCCTTTGCACCAATTCAAGCCAATATTTAAAAAATATTTGTTCAACATTTATTTAGCAGGCATAGGAGAAAGTGAATTTCTTCATGGATGTTGCTATATTTTTAAACGTGATTCTTTAAAAAACTTAAACAGATTAATCAATAATACTGTATAAGATTTTTAAAAAATACCATTTTTTAAAAAAGTGTACACCATAAACTTCTTTGCACCTTTTCTGTTATCCTTCCTTCTCCTCAGAAGAACCTTTGTCTACATTTGGTGAGCATCCGTTTGCATAGATAAACGTTTACAGGAGCATCTTCTGTTGTACAATCCATCATAGATATTGTTTGCAAGTTGCTTTTTCTCTTAATGTGTTTGGGGCAGTGGTTCTCAACTGGGGTGCGATTTTGCCTCCCCAAAGGACATTGGGCAATGTCCATTGAGACATTTTAGGTGGTTAACATTGGGAGGACACTTCGTATCTAGTGGGTGGAGTTGTTGGGTCTTTGACCTGATGTCTTATATAAATTTTGGAAAATGCTCAACCATTATCTCTTCAAATATTTCTTTTGCAGCACTCGCATTCTCTCCTTTACTGCAGAGACTCTAATTGTCCTTTAGACATTTGGCATTGTTTCTCAAGTCTCAGATGCTCCATTCATTTCCTCCTTGTTTTTTTCTTTACACTTATGATGGATAATTTCCATTAACTTGGCTTTAATTCACTGGTATTTCTCTGCTGTGACTAGTCTGCTATTAAGCCAGTATACGTTCTTCATTTCTGACAGTCTTTTTTATTTTTTGAATTCCCAATTGGTCTTTTTTTCTAGTTTTGATTTAAAGTTTTCGAAATTCCCCATCTGTTCACACATGTTATTCACCTTTTCCATTATTTATCATACATATTTTAAAGTTCTTTATCCGATCATTTAAACATCCGAGTCAGTTACGTGTCAGCTTCTATTAATTATTTTTGCTCTTGATTATGGTTCCAGTTTGCTCTTAATTATAGTCCCATTTTCTTGCTTGTAATAATTTTTGAATTATAATGGGTATTGTACATAAAAGGACAGTAGAGCCTAAAGTAAATAATATTTACCCTGAGAAAAGGATGTGCTTTTTTGGTTGGGCTTTTAGTATGGAGGGGCCTGAATCAATCTAATCTGTACATCGGCTCAGTCTGGACTTGATTGCATTTTTAGTTACATGTATTGACCACAGTCCCAAATGTTTTGAGGGTGATATCAAGACTTTCTCTCCAGCAGGGCTGGGGTCTGAGCACTGATAAGATTCTACAGACCCCCTATTTCTCAACCCCCTCCATCAGTTTTCCAAATCATGGGATAGTTCTCTCTTTTTTTTATAGCCTGACCACCAGCTTTTAGGGGGGTGGTAGAGGTTACTTTCCAGTGGGAATCTGGTTTGGGTTGTCCCAGAAGCAGACACTGAGAATAGTATTTATGTGCAAGTAGTTTATTTGGGAATTGACCCCAGGAAACACTGGTAGAGAGTAGAGAATTGAGACTGGAAAGGGAAGGCAGCCAATGAAGGTGGCTCATCAAGCTAGTTACTAATGTGGGCAAATGGAGCTCAGTCTCTCCTGTCCCCATCCTGCCAGCACCCTTGGCCCCTGTGTTAATGCTCCTGGGAGCAGCCCTCACCCAAACACTGATAGAGCTGGCGGATAGTGCCCCAGCTCCTGGCTTCTCGGTGGGGAGAGCTCTGATACGGTTCTTATACTATCTCCCAGAGTATCCCCAACAGGACTGAGAGCCGACCATTGCCCACATTAGCCACCCCCCGGGAGACACCAATTGATGTTTCTTGAACTGTCCTGAATAGTGAATCCCTAGAATTAGGAAGCCAAATGTCATTTATTAAAAGATCAAAGGTGAGCTATTTTCTCCCAACTTTAGGACATCTGAGCACTTTGGACCTGAGTGAATGCTGGCATCGTATTTAATAAAGCTGCTTACCAAAGACATGGAACCCTTGCTGAACCCAATAACCATCTTTCCTGGTTTCTGGACTGAGACCGCACAGGTAGGAGTTTCTTCTTTGATGCTGGACAAGTGTTGCTTCCCCTGCGCTTTTCCTGTGGCTGAGCTCCACAGAGTGACCACACCACCCTTGGACACCGTCAGCAGCGTGGCCCAGGAAGCCAATGCTGCCATACACATCCAAGGGTCGGAGGCATCTCCCGGGATACGGAAAACCAGCTCGGCAGTTTCCAGATTCCAAGCGCTGACCTAATGAGAGGATGAAAAGGAAGAGAAAACTCAGCGGGAGACCTAGGCTGCTTGTTCTCCAGAGTCGAACACAAGACCTGTTCTTTTTTTATAGTCCACTCATTTTATTTTCAATACTCTATCTGTTCGAAAATAAAAAGGCATGGGGAGAGGTATCCTGGAATAGCAAGAGGACATTTGTAGAAAAATTAATGAAATCCAAATAAAGTCTGGAGTTAGATTGATAGAAATAATCAGTATTAATGTCTTAGTTTTGACAAATGTAGTTATGTAAGATGTTGACATTCGATAAGGCTGGATCAAAAGCACATGGGAACTCTTTATAATATCTTTATAACTTTTGCATAAATCTAAAATTGCTCCAAAATAAGAAGTTTTAAAAAATAGAGAAAAAGCCAGCCATACTATATGCATCAACATCTATGTCCATTACAAGTAATTATTGATTTAAACAGGTTTCCTGTTTAAACTCACACACATACACCAAAAGTATATTTTTTATCAACAGTGACCATTTAAATAGTAAACATTATCCCATTAATTCCACTTCTGCAGTTCATAATAAAGGAATAAGGAGAGATACACACAAAGATACATGCATAAGAAAATTTATCTCAGTTATTTGAAATTGCAAAGAACTGGACACAACGTCTGTGTTCAACAATAAGGAATTTAAAGTTAAATAAGCTATAGTGGAGTCATGCAATAAAATCTTATGAAATCACTAAGCATGCTGTTTTTGAAGAATATTTAAAGTTATGGACAAATGAAAATAGCTTTATAAAACTGCATATATAGTTTTATCCCAATTTCATTTTACACACGCACATCACAAAATCATGTAAATGTTAACAATGGTTATCTTTGGGATTATCTATTATTACTTATTATATCTTTACTTTCTTTTCTAAACTTTTGCTGATAATGAAGATGATTTCTATAATCAGTTTTTAAATCAACCAACACTTTTCTAATATTTAAGCCTGTACTGCCTAATAAAAACATAATGGAAGATGCAAGCCACATGTGACCAAATTTGTATTAGCCACTTTTGTTACCTTTGATCTAGATGCTGAATACACGACCTTCTTTGCTTCGTCAACATGAAGGCTCCAGATCTGAGGTTCAGTGGGATCTTTTGAGCCTGCGTCCCAAATGGTGAATTTCTCCTGGCCAGAGAGTAAGTTCCACAAGCGCAGCGTGTGGTCCTTGGAGGCAGAGATGGCGAGTGTCCCTTGGGCAAATACTTTCACACACTTCACCTCTCCTGCAGCAGGTGGGGAGAGGGGAGGCGGGGAGGGGGGAGGAGAGTATATTAGCTGGGAACATTTTGATCTTCCAACTACCAAAACACCTGTTGGCTTGGAAATTCTCTGGTTTACCAATGAAAAAAATGGATAGGTTCGAACATAACCAAAATACAAATAATGGAATGTGGCAAAGCTAAAGTCAGGGTGTAACAACTGGTTGAGATTAAATCAACTGCCCTAATGTTACATCTGTGAAACACAGGGATTATTGAAATTAACAAGATTTCAGCATCGCCCAGTGAATGTAAGATAAGCAAGGTAAAATTATAGAAGATCGTATAATCTTGGAGAGATATTTTCTAAGCAAAACATGAAATTTGGAAGACATAAAAAGGAAAAACTGAACAATTGGATTAAATAAAAATGTAAAACTTGAAGAGGGTAAAATGGAACTGAAAGGCATATGACAGGGAGAAAATATTTGCAGTATATGACAGATACATGGAGACTTTCCTTGATAAATAAAACATTCAAATAAAAAATGCAAATAACTTAAAAACTGGACAAAGAGTATAAACAGGAAATTAACAAATAGTACAGTAGACAATAAGCATTAGAAAATGGTGCTCGACCTCATTAGTCATCACAAAAATGCGAGATGAAATACCAATACTGTTTTACCCATCATATTGGCAAAGGTTTTATAGATTGCTTGCTGAAGTGCTGGCAAAGATATAGGAAATAAATTACTCTCCTATCTTGCTATTGGGAGTTTAAGTTGACATAAATTTGTAAGAGGGTAATTTGGTACCATTTATTAAAAGTTAAAATGTATGGTCTCTTGGTTTTGATAATGTACTATAATTGTGTAACATGTTGTCACCCAGGAAAAGTGAATAAGGGTGCACAGGGACTCTGAACTATTTCAGTGACTTTTTGTGAGTCTACATAATTATTTCAAAATAAAAAGCTAAGAAAAAGAAGAAGAAAGGAAAAGTGTGCATTTGACTCAGAAATCCCACTTCTAAGAATGCTTTCTCACAGAAATAATAGCCTAAGTGTGTGAAGGTGTGGAAGGACTTTAATTGCAGTATTGTTTGTGTAAAAGGAAAATTGCAAACAACCTGTCTATGAAAAGGGAGTTGTTTATATAATATGCTACATCCAAATAAAGAATGTTAGGCAGACATTAAAAATTATATGATGGATGCATATATACGATGACCTGACCATGATAATCGTAATTATTATAACAGCCAATACTTACTGAGTGCTTTCTATGTGCCAAGCATAGTTGTAAGTGGTTTACAGGCATTAAACTCCTTTAGTCCTCATAACGACTCTGTGAGATACAATTAGTATCCCATTATACAGATGTGGAAACTGAGGCTCAGCAGAACACAGTAATTTATCCAAAGCCACAAACTATGAAGGCAAGAATTGAGCTCAGAGCCCAAGCTCTCAACTACTACAAAATATTGTTATAATATATTGTGACAAAAGCAAGTTGCAGCCCAGTATGTAAAATAGCATGATCTGATTTTTCACTAAAACTCAAAGTACATGAGCCTATATAGAGCAATATATGTATAAGCCTAGAGAAAGTTTGCTATTGGCATAAACCAAACTGTGAACATTGATCACTTCCAGGGGAGAGACTGAAAAGGGGAGAGACAAAAAGAAGTGAGTTTTATTTCTTTATAATTCAAATGCCATCAAGATAGTGAGTGATTTTTATTTGTTGCAATTTCGGTATTTTCAAGCAAAATTTTTATAAATAGTAATGCTTTACAACATATCCACATACAGAGAATATTATATTACTCTTAAAATGAATTAAAGATATATACGTGATAAGGAAAGAGGCAAAATATGTAATGTTAACTGAAAAAAAACCAGGTTGCAAAAGCTTATGTGACTATATAACCATGTATATATGTATACATATACATATACACATATATATGCACAGTTAAGTGCCATATAATGACATCTTGGTCAATTACAGGCTACATATACAATGGTAGTCTCATAAGATTATAATGGAACTGAAAAATTTCTATCTCCTAGTGACACTGTAGCCATTGTAATGCAACGCATTACTCATGTGTTTGTGATGATACTGGTGTAAACAAACCTACTGCACTGCCAGTTATATAAAAGTAGAACACTGTGTTATAATCACCTACAGTATTCTGTATAATAACGTGCTATGCAGGCTTGTAGCCTAGGAGCGATGGGTTGCACTATAGAGGCTAGGTGTGTAGTAGACTAGACCACCTAGTTTGTGTTAGTATACTCCTTTACGTTCGCACAAGGAATAAATTGCCTAATGAGGCACTTCTCAGAACAGATCCCTGTCATTAACTGGCACAAGACTATAAAACCAAACACCTCCCGGGGAAGGGATTAGAACAACAACAATAAGCTGGCGAGTGTTTAACAATTGGTTCTATAAGGTGCTGAGAGAGCTCTGATTTGTGATGTTTGCCAATTTCTATGGTGTAAATATTCCCACTGTGGCTGATTTCAAGCCACTAACATGATGCCGTTGAACGTGGCACCGGGAAGAGATGCTCGGTAGCATACCACTTCCACCACGTGGCCAAGAATATAGGGAATAGTTGAGCGTGGTAAAATAATTAGAAAGCAACATGTTTTGAGTATTTATTACCTTGTGTTAATATAATTGATTGATTGAACATTATGCTGAGTGAAGGAAGCCAGATGCAAAAGGTCATAGAGTGTGCAATTCTGTTTTGTATGTAAGTTTCTATAATGTAGTGTTTAATAATGGCTATGTTTGACGACCACCTCACAGCAGTCCTGAAAACTTCACAGTCGACTCTCATAAGCCAGCACAAACCACCTACAGTACACTACCTTGTGATCAGAAACGTTCACTTTCCATATTATAATATGTCTATTATGTTTTCAGTTTTTCAATGAATTGATTACTGAGTCTTTCTGATTATAAATAATAAGAGTTTGATGACTTAAAAAAATAAATCATCATTAAAAAAAAAATCACCATTGGTAAATGGGCACAGGTCTTGGACTGACAGCTCACACACACACACACAATACAAATACTGAATGGACCAACAGGAAAATAGGCATCCTGGTGATAACAAAACAAATGGAGCCTTATTTGACAGACACTGTTGGTACCGCCCCACTCCCACCCCCCAGGGAGAAAAAGAGTAAAATGAAAACAACTAGTGCTGGGAGTGTTGGGGTTGGGAGTGTTGCATATACAGCCCGTTTAGAAAGCAATAAGATGACACGTCACAACCCAGAGAAATGTGCAGACCCTCCAATTTAGGAGGAAATAGTCAACAGAATGAAAAAAAAATATTGATGAGAATAATAAGAGATTCATCCCAGAGTTCTCCTAATAGCAGATAATTAGAAATAGCTTAAATATAAAAGATTTAAAAAATCGTTTATTTAATTCTGGAACATGATCTGTTGAGAAGAATGAAATACTTTTGCTGCATTTAAACATTATAAATATGAAAATTAGATGGATCATAGCAGCATTACTCATCATAGCCCCAAATTGGAAACAGGGTAAATGGCCTTAAACTGATGAATGGATACACAAATGCTGGTCCTTCCATCTAATAATGGAACATGACTCAGCAATGCAAAGGAACAAACTATCAATACCCGCAGCAATACGAATAAACTTCAAATACATTATGCTGAGTGAAGGAAGCCAGATGCAAAAGGTCATAGAGTGTGCAATTCTGTTTGTATGAAATGTCCAGAAAGCAAATCTATAGACTTAGAAAGCACATCAGTGGTTGCCATGGGGATGGAGTGGGCATAGTGAAGATGGACTGCAAAGCGGGCGGAAGGGATCTTCTAGGGGTGATTAAAAGTTCCAGGATTGTGGTGATGGCTGCACAACTCAGTAAATTTACTAAAAATCATTGAATCGTACATTTAAAACAGGTGAATTTTATGGTATGCAAATTTCACCTCAACGAATTTGATTTTAAAAGATTTAACAAAAACAAATGTTTGTAGCAAAATGTTGAGAAAAATACATAAATGATGTATATACTTAGGTAGCAATGATATAATAGTCATTGGTTTCTGTGTGTTCGTAGAATTGTGCGACCATCCCCACAGGCTAAGTTTAGAACACTTTCATAACCTCGCAAAGCTGTCATTCTCTCCCTTTCCTCTCCTTATCATTTTAGCCATTTTAAAGTGTCTAATTCAGTGACAACCAGCACATTCACAATGTCGTGTGAACATCACCTCTGATCGCAGAACATTCCATCACTTTGAAGGGAGGCCCTGTCCCCATGAGTAGTCACTCCCCATTCCCCTCCCCTAGCCCCGGGCAATCGCCAATCTGTTTTCTGTCTCCGTGGATTTGCCTGCTCTGGACATGTCATATAGATGGAATCATACACCATGTGGCCTTTGGTGTCTGGCTTCTTTCATTTGATATGATGTCCCAAGCTCCAGCCTCATGGCTCCTTTGCTGTTCTGTAAGTGTGCCAGCTTCTTCGCCCCTCTCAGGGCTTTTGTGCTAGCTGTGTCCCATGCCTCGATGCTCTTCCCACACCCCCGCCCTTTGTACATCTCTTCCTTCATACCCTTTGTGTCTTGGCCGAAATGTCCCTGATCAGGAGAATGCCTTCCCTAATGCCCTACGTTGGTCACTTTGGTTAGTGTAGCTCATGACGCCCTGTTGACCTCATTATACTTATTATAATCTGTACCTGCTCACCTTCCCAAATACATGAGTGTGACTCCGGCCAGCATTAGAATGAGGTAAGTGAGGCACTCTCCTCACATGCAGAATTTAAGGAGGCACCAAATCACCAAGTTCTCTTTTGCCTCTGGTTCTAATATGTCTCGCCACGGCACTATTGCTGATCCTGTCTTTATTTAAGGCAGATTGATATTTATTTATTGTGGATATTTTTGCATTAATTTCAATGTTTTAAAACATCGTGTTGAAATATTATTTATCTTGATGACTGAATTTTGTTTTTAACTTTGGGGGTGCCCCTTTAAATTTCGTACCTACAGTGTGCGCTTTGTTCCCCTCACCCTAGTCTTGGCCCTGATCTGTCTCTCTTCTGCCTCTAGCACAGGGCCTGGTCCACAGTAGACTCTCAATAATTGATCCAACAAATAGACCATAGTGTCAATGAGATTATGTTGGAATGAAAACTTTACTGTGCTAGACAAATTGCATAAATGACCACAACTCTTCGCCCTCCCTGATCTACACCTTTTGCGGTGTGACTCTGCTCCTCCCACCAGGGGATGAAGCCTATTTCCCTGCTGGCTGATTCTAGACTGTTCTTGTCACTTCCTTTGGCCAACAGAACTTGACAGGGTGCCAGTTTCAAGGATAGTTTCAGGCTTTAAGAGACCTCGTGCATTTCTGCTTTCCCTCTAGAGACCCTGCCTCTTCCCCAACTAGCCTGCTGGAGTATGGGAGACCACATGGAGCAGAGCTGAGTTGTCTCAGTTAAAAACATCCTGGACCAGCCAGATCCCAGATGCCCCACTAATTGGCCGTAGATGCATGAGCGAGCCCAGAAAAGCTGCCCAGCTCAGTCCAACCTGAATTGCCAACCCACAGAAGGTGAGCTAAATAAACAGCTTTTGTTCGAAGCTGCTAGGTTTTGGGGTGTTTTGTTACATGGCGATAACTAACTGATGCAAAAACAAAGCCAGAGTTTTGATATAGAGAAGTGAATTGGTGGTGAAGAGGCTCTGGGGACTGACTGATTGACATGGAACGCCAGAAAGAAGGTGATCATAAAGCCCACTTCCCAAGCCTCACCTGTGTGTCCAGTTAGGATGTGAATCACCTGCTTCTCCTCCATGTCCCACACAGCCAAGATGCCATCCTGGGTGCCGACTACCAGCAGCTTCTCTTCCAGGCTCCACGCCATGGCGGTGATGCCTGCAGCCCCCAAAAGACAAAAGTGATGACATCAGCTCCTGTGTCTGAGTGCTCAGCCATGGTGTCCTGTAATGGGCCCCCACTTCACAGAAAGGGAAACCGAGGCATGGACAGATTCAGTCCCTTGTCCAGAGCCACACACCTAGGAAGTGGCAGAGCCAGGTTTTTGAAGCCAGAGCTGTCAGACGCCAGATTCATAACTTGGCTGTAATGTTTATGTTGCTCTTAGGGATTAAACCACAGCTTGGTCAGAAGTTCTCCCTAGTTCAGCAGTCTCCCCCACTGGTGATTCTGCCCCCCATGGGACAATAGATTATTATGTGAGGGAAAAATGGACTTCTATTTAAGCTGCTT